ATGGTCTGGAACAGAGGAAATCGGGAGATGGAGAAGGAAAAAAAAGGGTTTGGGTTATAAATGAGGAGGTATAAGAAATCGGCAGATAAGGAGAAAATGGGTTTAGATTATAAATGAAGAGGTATATATAGTGGTTTTAGTCGTAAATTTATTAAGATATAAGGGTAAAATAGGTATAGCATGTCAATTTCATTAATTGGAAGCTGGAAGCTCCCGCAAAAGCTCCAAATTCCTTACTTCTCAATTTTCAAAAGGTGAAAGCTAACTTTTGCTTCCCGGGAGCTGAAGCTCACCTCAAAAGCTAGGGTGTTTGGTGCAGCTGGACCTTTTGGACTTCAAAAGGTCTTCCGACCAGCTGCACCAAACACCCACTTAAAATGTTAGACAGCCTTTTTCGGTGAGCGAGAGTTACTATTCCCCAAATGGCCAAAATACGTCCTGTCATAAACAGTAGCTGCGTTATCTTCGTCCAATTTTTTCCCTCCATATCCTTGCCGTTCACGTGGCAACAAAAAATGTCAAGGAGGAACACGTGATAATAATCTACCGACAGATTTTCACGTGGCTCTTCATTGCCAATGACCTTATCATCCGCAGTTGAGTACTTCTGCTTAAAAGTCTTTAGAAAGGTCATACAGATGGAGATAATAGATGGTCGAAGCTGAAGGTTTTTGTCTGTGTGTTTGATGGCTAATTCTTAGCTACAGCTTTAGCTTGAGGAGGAATTAATAATTGGTCAATTAAAAATATATGATACTAATAATTAAATGTATTACAAAAACATTATTTAGTGTATAAATTCATCCTAATAGGTAGTTTTTCTTATGAGAAGCCTATCGGTGAAGGAATTTAGTTGCCTCCTAGATTACTTAAATAATAATCGAAAAATTTTAACTTGCACTTTTAGAGTTAAGTTGAATTTTATTAATTATAATATTTATAATTAATTTTATATAAAATTTAAATAAAATATAATATAAAATATAAAATATGATATAATATTTATATTTAAAATTTTAAAAAAAAATTATAAATTCAATATGAAAATTTATGTAAAATTAATTAAAAATATTTTAATTAATGAGTTTTAACCTATTCTTCTAAAATTTAAGTTAATTAAACTCATAAGAATATTGTCCCAAAAAAAGCTTACATAAATAATAAATGAGTAACTATTTGTAGTTTAAATTATATTTATAACTACAAAATATAGATCATTAGATGAAGAGATAATTTTTAATATTAAAAACCAATTTAAACTATACAATACTTTTTTTATACTCTTTTAGTCATATTTAGTGATCTCAATTTGATTTTTATATAAAATTTGACTAAATAATTTTATGTAATAAATAAATACAATAACAATTAAAAAAAGTTTAATTTAATTAAAAGTACTCAATAAAAACTATGCATAGGAAGAAAAAAATTTTAATTTTCATATATTTACTACTCAAATTTTATGTAAAAATCAAACTAAAAGTAGGACAACTATATATAAATATTTTCTTGTAATTTCTTAAAAAAATAATTCTTTTGT